TCTTATTTCAACCGTTGCGTATATTAGCTGCGACATATGAATCAAGATGCTATGACTGAAAACAAATTGATTGACAGATGACCGTTGATATATGATTGGTGGAATTTAGGTGTTCAGGCTGACGTATAACTAACTGGCCTGCAGAAGATAACGGGGAAAAAAAACCCACAGATTTGAAGACTTTTTAAGATTTTAAGAATTTTCTAACTTTTGGGACAATATCGTCTGATAAAGCGTACATTTATATACATGTTTAAGCCAGAATGATTTGACATTTAAATATGACTTCCCTACGACTTTAAGTTCAGTTAATGTTCTGTTCTGTTGAGCCATATTAAACCTCCAAGTTATTTTATTAGGACATTTCTTTTGTAAATTGTTCTTTGCACCATTTTTTTGCAATGTAAATAAACCACCTGCTAGAATGGACTTCTGCCTACTGCCTTCTTCAGCCACAGTCTATCTTACATTTATACTGTAAATTTGTAACTCAGACATAAATGTGAAAGTTGTATTTGTTGCAAGCTTGTTGCTCTTTCAGTTATATATGTGTTGCCACGAAGAAATAAATGTAAATCTTACATTTATGTACACTGACCGCTAGGAATGTGTTTTTATTGACAGTTTTCTCTCCCCCTACAGGACGAAGTACGTTTTTCTGAGTCATGAGATGAAATGAGATGCATCGTTTCCTTTCATTGAATGATATAAATTAGCAAATGGTTTAGAATCAGCCACACCTGTGGATGTCGACGGCGTTCTGGACGGATGGGGCAACATGCCGACCATTTGGAGACAGACGTCCGTCCACCATGCCGAGCGCGGAGCTGTACTCCAGCAGAGGGGACTGGAAGGCGACGTGCGGCAGATCAGGCAGAGGTCTCTCTCTTCCCCTCACCGCAGCCCTCTGGTTGCTGGCGGTGGTCCTGGATGATGATCCGCTCTCTGCTGTCGCTAAAGGCTCTGTGGATAGAGGAGCTTCCCTCCTGCTCAGTCCGAACTGTCTGATTCGCTCTGGCTGCAGGCAGCAGAGACAACAGGATGGAGAAGATTAAAAAGAGGTAAAAAGCTAGGAGAGTCCAAAGTGTGTGCTGTGTGGCGGCTGACCGGCTTCTCTGGGTCGTTAGCTCCTGTCGCAGCGACCTTCATCTCCAGATCCTTTTCCCTGAAAACATGCCACATGCAACACATCTGAAGGACCAGACACCATGACCAAAATTCTCTTCTTTTTAAATCAGAGGAAGCATCCATCGGACCAAACAAATTCATCTTACCTTGGAACTTCTTTAATAAACGCTTTTCCTGTAGCTCAATATTTGCAGATTTAATTTCTGCTTTTGGTCTATAATGTCTTACTGCCTGTTGATTTATCCGTTAAAAGTCCAATAAAACCCACTGCAGTCTGTTTTTTCAAAGAGAGAAACAGAGAATATGAAGTCTCCTACCTCTTTCTGTTGCGATGCTGCTCAGCTATCTGCTCCTGCAGCTCCTTCCTGTAGCGCTCCTTCTTCCTCCTCAAAGCCTCGGCACTATCAGCAGCTCCTGAACACAAACCACAGGTCCTATTTTAGCTCCTACATCCAGATATTTTCTTTTAGATTTTAATTCTGGAACCAGGAAAATGTTCATCAGGATTCACAGTTATTTCCAAAAGAAGCAAAAGGAGCAGAGAGCCTGGCTACCTATAACCAGTCCGGTCCCAAAGTGAGCTTTGTCGTTTTTCCAGAGGTCTCTTGATCTCCTGCCGTCGCTCCAAACCTCTGATGTTTGCTCCTCCTTCTCCCTGACAGGAGAAATTATAAAAAACAATGAAAACCGAAGGGAAAAAGTCAGAAAACGACCGACCAAACTGCTCTGCTGGGTTACCTTTCATCACTTCTAGCCCACAGACTCTTCTGATAACCGGCCTCAGATCTAGGAAGCCGGGGCTTTCTTCCTCCAGTCTTCTCCAGCTGATCTTTAAACGCCTTCTCCTCTCCAGAATCCAGGTCCAGTGGACTCTCCACCCGGTCTGGATGCATGTAAAGATCCGAAACAGGCTCCTGGTTCTGGTCGGCGAGCTGCGGCGCTCTGAGCAGCCCTCTGTCCCACGTTAGACGCTGCTTAGGAACATCCGTCTCCGGTTGAAGCTGCTGGAGAGACCAAGATGCATCTGTGATTAGACCAGAAGACGAGGACTAAAGGAGGCGAGGGTCAGCCTGGGTGCTTCCTCATTAAACACCACATCTTATGGTTCATTTGGTCACCAGAAAGACCTATCCCCACCAATAATTTCCGCTTTTTTCCCCTTCCTGCTCATTTTCTTAAGCGAAAGGTAACAGAGGTCGGTTGCAGCTAACTGTGTTCAGAGCGTTTTGGGTCAGTGTCCTGTTTTTCCTCCTCTCTCCCGCTACGTGGTTGGAGGAAAGAAAAACAGCAGCACTCAGTGAATATTAACAGGCAGCTACTTAGATGTTTAAGTAAAATTTGGTTGGTTGAAAAAATTATAGCTCTTTCAGCTAAAATGGCAACAGATTGTAAATTTATACAAGTTAGTATTATAATGCAAAAAGCTTGAAAATACATAGTTTTTTCCGTCTTTACTAGTTGAAGAAAGCTTGGCTTCTCAGATGACAATGGCTCCCAGTTACAGCTTAAATTAACACATTTTCTTATTGAACAGACAGAATCAGACTGCAGAGCTTCTGGCATCATAACATAAGTAAATAGGTTCATAAATCTTTTTTTAAGCAGATCAAAGAGAGAAGCAGGGAGAGCTGCAGATTTAAAGGTGAAACAGATTTACTGGGATATGCAACGCGCAATCAAATATATCTCCAAGTTTACAAGAGAAAAATATGCTATGCTATATTTAAAATGAAGCATAGCCATAGTTTTCTGGATGGGTGGAATTAAAATTGCAAATTCTAGGGATGATAAATATCGATTTTGGCATCAGAATCGGCTGTTATTGGTTAATTTTTTTATACATGAATGTTTTTGAGCCTCATGTATATATATATGTATATATAATGCAATAAAAGGCATCTCTATAACCATCTATAAATATAAATATTAGTGTATTATGGTTCTTTTGTGTTTTCAACAATAGGAAAGCAGATGTTTGAGCTCATTTCTGGAAAATACAAAAACCTAATGAAAGCGTTCGGGTCGAGTCGAGGTCCATCAGCATCCACCATTAGAGCTCAGAAAGGTGAAACAAATTATTTTTTTTTCAGCTGCCATGCATGTGGGCATTGTCAGTATCGGATGCCTTCTCCCTCTCTGCCCATTCTTCTTCATTTTTGAAACCCAGACCTTGGGGTGCTGCATTTTTCAGTCGTGGACGTTTTTACCACACTGCTGCTTATTTACACATTTCCTTGTTAATTTGTTTTGTAATCAAATGTGAAATGATGTGCGCGTGGCACTAAAGCTAAAGCCCTGGTAAAGGGGAGGGGTGTCAATATTGTCATGCTTTGTTTCACTGTTTACTGCTGACAAATGAGGAAGAACATGAAGATTAGATTAGAATAATTTATTTTGGTTTTCATTTTGGATTTTCTTTTTATATTATCTCGGCCTCAGCAGATGGCCGCTCACACTGAGCCTGGTTCTGCTGGAGGTTTCTTCCTGTTAAAAGCGAGTTTTTCCTCTCCACTGTCACCACAAGCATGCTTAGAGTGAGGGATTGCAGATGCAATCAACTGGTTCTCCTTATATTGAAAATCAATTTGATTGTATGATCTGGTGAACTGTAAAGTGTCTTGAGATGACATGTTGTGAATTGGCGCTATATAAATAAGCTGAATTAAATTGAATGTGTAGATGGGGTAACCCTAAATGTATTTTTATTATGCTTTAGTTTGGCCCTGTGATTTGTTTTGTTTTCCACATCTTTTATATTTTCTATTTTGTGTGTGTGCTCCATCCCAGTGCTCATGCAAAAACAAAGAATTTCACTTGATATAGGAAAGTCAGTTCCAATGTGCCAGAGACAACACCACTTTGAATTAAATCAAACCTCAGCAGTGCACAGAGCTGAGACACAATGCAAAACCTTTCAGCTACAACTTGGTCTGATCCCTTTAATGGCAGCTTTCACTGTGACAATATGTACGTGTTATGCTACGTTCATCTTTGCTGCTCTGGCTGCACGGTGGAAAAAATGGCTCTGATGCGCGTTGGGCGGAGCTACCCTATCCTTTCGTTGCCTGTAACAATAGCAGCTGTATTTGCTGTGATCACCAGTGGGTAAAAAGTAGTTTTACAATATTTTTCATTGAGAAAGTCCACCTGAAAACTTCATCTATGCAGTCAATTCATCTAGATTACCATCCTTCCTTCAAATATTATTTCACTGTCACAGCCGCTCAGAACCCCGTACACCGGTGGTGCGCTGTCACTAGGAATCCTATTCAACAGCAGGCTGTGGCTCTGGTCTCTGATTGGTTGATGTGGTGCGTCCAGCAGAAAAAAGTTACATTTTTCCAACTCCAGCAGCAGGTGCTTTCGCAGCGCGTTCCGCGCGTCAAATGCTAACCCTAACCCTATGATGCACTGCTCCTGCTGCTCAAAAAGGGACGTTTTGCTGCGCCTTGATGTGCGTCAACCGTTGACTTTGCATGTAAACTAGCTGCTCCTGCTGCCTCTGCTGCTTTAGGTGTGAATGTAGCGTTAGACATCCAACGTTTTCTATGCACCACCAAATCTAATGCATTTGGATTTCACAAAGAGGAAAGAATATTTCCCCCCAAATCTGTGGAGCATTAAAAATCTATAATAGGAACTGAATTGAATTGAAACGTTCATTTCACTGCTAAACTGCTCATTCACTGTTGAAAAGCTGTATGCATCGAAATTTCATTTAGCATATACTCTTTGTATACAAAATCACAATAAAGTCTAAGTAAAAAGTCCCAAATCCACACATTCTGACATTTATTTGCTGTGTTAAAACTGCAAGCCATCAAGCTAACGGGAGCTAGCATTCTTCTTCTTCTTCCCTCCTCCAGGGGCTATATGTAGAGCTCCCCCTACAGGTTTGGTAGGAGACAGTTCAGTAGATATTAGCAGCTTATATATGAACGTTTACAGTTTTTTTGGAAAGATTTAGTGGGCGTGGCTTAAAGTGAGGTGCGATCTGTAGTCCGGAAAATACAGTACCGTTTCATCATCCTCAATATTCTGTAGTTCTTTCCTCAATTAGACTAATAACTGAATCAAGCTGAGGAAGGACAACCTTCCTCATTGTTTCCTGAACTGCTCTAATTATTTGTCTTAAATTTTTCTCTGGTTTCTGTTCTTTAGTTTTCATCTATTTCTTCCTGCTCTTATTTTACATTGATGTTTTTGGTTATCCTTTTTATTTATTATGAGATTTTATATTATGTTTGTTTCTCATTCAGAGCTTTATGACTAGCAGCAAAAAGCACTTAATAATAAAACATGACCATCAGTTTAGGCATCAGTACTGTAGAGGAACCTCTTAGTATTAATGTTATTAATTTCATCATTAACAAATAGGATTAGATAAAAAGAAACTCGGAGAAAATGCTCTAAATTTGACAAGTGGATATGTTTATCTTCCAGTCCCTGTCTATGTGCGTGTGTGTGTGTGTGTGTGTGTGTGGGATTTAAAGGGACAGTAACCTGAGCCATGTAGCGTCTGTAGTCCATACGGAGCTCATTCTGCAGCCTGTGTTTCTTCTTTTCGTACTCCGCTCCAAGGGGCAGACCTGCACTGCAGCTTTCCTCTGACAAACACACATCCATCAGTGTCACACAGAGGCCGGCAGATGATGAGGTTTTAGGCTGAAACACAGCCGCTCACTCATCCCAGATGCTAACTCCATAGAAACATTTCTGCTTTTTTCCTCATTTTCTAAAATAAAGTGCAACAATGAAGAAAATAAAAAACCTTTAGCCTGGTTAGCAGTCCGTGGAGGGATGTTCTCTTTCACCGAGGACCCCCTGGTTCTGCTGGGCTTTGCCTGTCAACCACAGGAAGCTTTTAGATCAGATATTCATGTTTTCATCACAGTTAAAGGTCAAAGCTACAGCTTTCTCTATCAAAACAATCAATTAAAATAAAAAAAATAAAAACATCCACATGGCATCTAAAATGATGCAGAATGCAAAAATATAAATAAAGAAATAAAAGACAACTGAAAAGTAGCTTCTTTTCTGCTCTTTACATCAAAGTAAAAAAAAAAAATGGAGAACCTCGGTCAGGTTTCAGAAGGCTGGACTGAAGGAAGCAAAGATGCTCAGGAGGAAAACAGGTTGCTGCTTTTCCTCAACTGGTAGGTTCATCATTTAAAACAGTGATTCATTGTTTTTCTACATTTTATTTTGAGTTTTAACAATGTGTTTTTTAGTTTACAAATAACATTCTTTATAAGGAGATGGCCTTCCCTTTATTTGAAGCTCAATACAAAAGCTCACAACTTCCACTCACTCCAAAGGAAAACCTGTCCAAGACGTGAACAAAATGTGTTCTCTAAAATGCAATGAAAAAAAAA